AGGCATAATTAAGTGTAGACTTACAAGGCTAGTAGGGTTAGAAACTTAGCTCTGTTTCTTACTATCATGGTGAGATATGGACGAAATTTCTTAATCTCTCTAGGCCACCAATAAAATGGGACTCACCACAAATGTACATCGTGAGTCATTATGTGGACAGAATTAATTAAAGAACCTATAACAGTGATTGGTTATAAAAGTATAGGTTATAAAAGTTTCACTATTAATATTGTTCTCCCAATCCCCTTGTGTAACGTCTTGAAGTTTGAAAAGAACTTCCTTGCATTAATATGAATGGTACTACCTGCCCTTTGGTTGCTGTTAATTGTCTGCTTGACACTATCTCAATTACCTAAGAATATCCACGCAGACCTATGAGGGATTATCTAGCTTAGGTTAGCCTCCTGGCTTGCCTATGGTTATTGATTATATTGATTAGGTTATCATAGGTGACCATCTTGATTTTGGAGGGAAGAGCCACCCATTTGAGGTGGTAGCATTCCCTCAGTTGGAATCCTGGAGTATATAAAACACAGAAATAAGATGAGCACAAACACATTCACCATTCCCTCCTCCCTCTTTTGGGTGTGATATAACCATCCTCTTCAATTCCTGCAGCCTTGACACCCCTGCCGTGATTGACTGTGCCTTAAACTGTGAGCTGAAATACATCCTTTGAACTGTTTTGTCAGAGACATTTCCTCACAGCAACAGAAAACAAAAACAAAAACCTAAAAACACCTGATGTCTTACCTTTCAATACACAAAACATCAGTAACATAACTTTAAATTCTTCAAAAGCAAATTAATAAGTACATTTCTTTTGAAGGGAAGATAAAATGGCCCTTTATTTTTTAAAAAAAAAATCCCTAATACATTTTTTTAAAAATTAAATAGTATGTCTTGGGAAAGCAAGTAATGATCTCTTAAAAATATAGAAATGAAAAAAGCTCTATTTTATTCATTGTTGTAGTGCTTTCTATATAATTTACTTTTAAATGTTATTTGACCTTATCATGAGTCTTCATGTAGTTCGAGGTGTTCACACCTATACCCTTTAATCCAGAAATATAAAATGACAACATTCCAATTTCGTCGTCAGCCCTCATTTATTTTGGGACTACCTGCAAAGAACTTATACTCCAACTGCTATTTTCTCACCCGCTGGTCCGTTTTGTACAGATAATTCAGGAAGAAGCTTTTCTTGGCAGGTTTACCACAAATGTCTCTTTCATGTCATTATGGGATTAGGCTTTAATAAATTTTATGTTTTGTATCCATGCCACTTGCCATCAATCCTAAACGTTAAGTTTATTCTGTAAACATTGAAGTATGTGTGACCCAGCAGGGTGTTCAGGCTCTTTCTGTTAGACTTTTAATTAGCTATCTCTCAAAACAAAACAAAGCAAAAAAACAAAAACAAAAACAAAAGACAACCTTGTTTTGATGGCAACAACATTTAGCATTGTAGTAAGACAGCTAGGGATCTGCAGACACTGCCATCAATGTGTCATTGTCCCTAAGCCGCTTCAGGAAGCAGGACTTTGAAATGTGGTTGTTTATTATTATTATTATTATTATTATTATTATTATTACTTTGAAGATGAAATGTAAAGATGCCCCCTAGTGGCATTTCTCAATTACACATTGAACTGCAGAGGTTTACTTGTACGTTCTCTAATATCTGTGTCTCACTTTCTCCATACGATAAATCAAGTTACCGGAAACAATGCATATATCATGATTACAATCTTTAGTCTACATTTGGAGAGAAGAGTCTCCTGATAAGAATGCCTCCATGACCATCAATATAGATACAACTGAAAGTTTTGAACACTTTTTGCACATGCTTTGTTCTTTTGCATTGGTGTTGGATATGTATCATCGGAGCATGAAGCCTTCGTGGATGTTCTACATATAAGGTTGGTCATTTCATAGCTGTACATTAATATTTTCCAGCCTCTCGGACACGCTGAACTCAGTCTCCAATAAATCCTGAAGAATGTACTCACGGCAGCAATTTTGCTTGAGTACTTGTGCGTTCCTAACAGTTCATCTTCAGTCTTTGTAATTGAAAGTCAGCCTTGCTGTGTGTAATATATCCTTAGATCCTTTTGAATGGGAATCTTTATTATATTTCTACGCTTTTCCACCATAGAGTTCCATGCCACAATGTGGGAATGTGATTTTGTTTCCTCTATAAGCCACCTGGCACCTTCTCCTAGATAGTCAAAGTTATTTCTCCCTCCTGTTCAAAGCTAAATAATTATATGAGGGTATGTTTCAGTATCGACCACCCTGCTGTGCTCTTTCCAATGGGCAGTTTCAGATCTTTCTTGTTTTTACTGTTACGTTTCCTTAAAGACGTTAATCATTAGACTCTGCTTCTGCTTTGTTCCTTAGGAAGTCTTATTATATGTGTGGCGTCTGTTTTGCCTCGTTTCTCTGTTCACCCAGTGTCTTTCCAGTACTTTCAGCACTCTTATTTTTCCCGTCTCTAAAGACATGATTTGCTACCCGTCTTAATCTCATGTTTCTTTTTCATTTCCGAAAATGACTTTTCCTTTTATTTTGAATTGCTTGCCGAAGTCGGTTACTCAATTCTGAGTTTATAATTCCTACTCATGTTTACATCTGTCTTGTCCCTGTGTCATTTCCTGGCTAGCATGGTTCCTTTTGAAAGTACATTTCCAGCCTCTTTCCCACGGGCCTTTCTGCTTCACTGTCTTACCTGTGGGATGTTATTCTGCTCAGTTTTCCTCGCGTGGAATTATAATTTGGTCTCTTTCTTTGTTCCTTGCTCTGGAAAATTCCTTGTGTGAATTTTTAGAAGGAACTGGCCAAAACTAAATCTGCTACCCTGGATTCCCAGGTTCCCCTTCCCTTCTAGCTGCTCCAGACCCATGTGATCCTCCTCAGCTGCTCTTCCTGTTAGGGAGCTTTGGCCTATCAAATGAAGAGCTAATAAAGAGCAGGGAATCTCGGGGTGCTCCGATCCTTTTGTATGGATCCTCTGTGTCTCAGTTTAGTTGTTTGCTTGCAGCTTTCTCTCTAGCCGTATGTCCCTCCCCCCCCCTTCCGCTTTCTCACCCTAGTTTTTATGTATCACAGGTGCTCTGTAAAATCTCATCACTACTCCTCACTGGCCCACTATTTGGGGCTTGTGGAAATGATTCGATATTTTCTGTTGGTTTTGACTTTGCTGCCGTGTTGTATTTGATGTGCAAAAACCCTTTTTAATGTAAGTGGCACCAGCTCTTCAGAATCTCATGGAAGACATAAAAAGAACTACATCAGGCCTGGAGAATTCTGAAACTTTCGCCTGCTTTTGAGAAGCAGGGTTTAATTTTCCTTTTTAAAAATCTTACCCAGTATCACGGCATTCTCGAGTGCACACTGAGCTACATTTGTCCCAATGAGAAAGATGAGGTTTGAGAGCATGCACCCACGGACCTTGTGAGGACTGGGCAACCAAGGGATCAGCCAGCCTTTCGCCTGTCATAAGATAAACTCTGCAACCCAACAACTGTGCTGGCTCTCAATATCTTACAGGAGCGGGCAGACCAGGCTTTGAAGTCATGCTCATCTCCAAGCAAGAAATCTGCACAGTGACCTAAATTCATAAATACCTGGCCCTATCTCAGGCTTTGCTACACTGTGATTTTTAGTGGTTCAGTGAGATCAAGTAATACTTTCTGTTTGGATTTACTTTAAATGTGTAAAATTATCTGCTACAGAGTCTTTGGGTCCACTGACCTCATTTATTGTATGTTTCATTATGTTAATGATGATTACCATCCAGACCGTGTGAGAAGTATAAGAGAGTGATAAGTATATTCTTGTTGGGTGTGCAGAACTTTGGAAAACCCTGCATTAGGCAAAATGACCGATCCCCAAGGTTTATCGTTTGTTTACTAATGGCTACTTATAAAACCCACCCAGATTGCCCAAGATAACCAACCTTGCTACAAACAAACACTTATTATTTGCATCTGCCACACCAGATATTAAGATATGGGCCCTCCAAATAGCCCATGGGAAGAACACACACGCACACACACACACACACACACACACACACACACACACACTTCAGCACATGCTCAATTGCATCAAGAATGTCCTCTAGGTGATGGGTTTGAGGAAGTGGGTAGAGGTTGGTAGGTGGTATGTCTATTTTTCTTTGAGATGAGGACAAGAACTCAGGTCAGGTATTAAGGCTTACTGCTGAGGTAAACAAAAGCCTTGATGATACAATGTGGCAAGGAAGGCTGGAACTTTAGGTAAATTTTGTTTCACAGAATAGTAAGTTAGCCCATTCAAGTTGAAGGGTTCTTGGTCTAGAAGGGAAATGGTTCTTACTGGTTACAGGGTATGTAGAGAATAGCCTTCAGCCATGTCGTCTTAGTCTTTGCAAGAAAATTAGTCCTAAGCTGACTCTGAGTTAGCTGCCTGCACATCATTTGTGCACATTTACTGAATGGACCTTGTATCTTCATGTAAATAATACAAATACTCTCTGGAAGAGATTTTTGTTGGAGGAGTTTTGAGCCAATGAAGAAACCATGAAGACTAAGAGCAGTAAGGGAGTTAGGAGGAAGAGGAGGGGAGAGGTGGGCATGACATATCAGGAAGATTGAGTCAGGGAAAAAAAAAGAGAGGAGAGCAAGAAAAGAGATAACATAATAGAGGGAACCGTTATAGGTTTAAAGAGAAATCTGGCAATAGGGAAATGTCCAGAGACCTACAAGGATGACCCCAACTAACAATCTAAGCAATTAGTGGAGAGGCTACCTTAAATGCCCTTCCCTGATAATGAGATTGATGCCATCCTAGAACCTTCATCTAGTAGCTGATGGAAGCAGAAACAGACACCAACAGCTAAATACTGAGCCAAATTCCTGGAATACAGTTGCGGACAGGGAGGAGTGATGAGCAAAGGGGTCAAGACCAAACTTGAGAAAAACACAGAAACTGCTGACCTGAACAAGAGGGAGCTCATGGACCCCAGACTGAAGCTGGGAAAAGAGCATAGAATTGACCCAAAGCCCCTGAATGTAGGTGTTAGCCAGGAGGACTGGACAGTCTATAGGCTCTCTGGTAGTGGATCAGTATTTATCCCTAGTGTACGAATGGACTTTGGGAGCCCATTAAACATAGAGGGATACTCTCTCAGTCTAGACACATGGGAGAGTACCTGGGCCCTACTCCAAATGATATGACAGACTTTGAAAACTCTCTATGGAAGGCCTCACCTTCCCTGGGGAGCAGAAAGGGGATGAGATGGAGGTTGGTGGGGGGGAGCAGGGGAGAATGGAAGGATGCGGGAACTGGGGTTGACATGTAAGACAAGCTTGTTTCAAATTTAAATAAATCTTAAAAACGAGCAGTTATGCTCAACTTGTGGTTCACAAAGCCTTTGGTGATTGAATGACCTTTTCACAAGGATCATCTGAGACCATCTGCATACCATTTATGATTCATAACAGCAGCACAATTACAGTTATGAAGTGGCAATGAAAATAACGTTGTGGTTGTGGGTCACAACATGAGGAACTGTAGTAAGGGGTGGCAGCCCTAGGAAGGGTGAGAACCACTGCTCTAGAGACTCCTTTTCACTTGACACCACGCCAGTAGCCAATGCGGCATTTTTGGAAAGTCTTGTAACAGCTACTAGAGAAAAGGAAGTCATTAAAAATGTGGCCAGTGAGCTTTGACAAATTGCTAATGGAAAGAGACAAGAGGTAACAGCAATCTCTCACTTAGCAATGTCAATGACTTTCGTAAGAAGGATATAAGAAGAGTTTGTGTGGTTCGTATGGATTCCAGTCACCCATGAGCTCAACTTCAACTGTTGCTATGAGTAAGGGACTGACAAGAGAGTTAGTTGTAATTTTTTACTTCAGTCTATCTAGAGGGTCTGAAGAGGAGTTAAACCAAAGAGGACAATTTAATGCATTTCAAACAAACATACACATTGTGAGATTTGATGGATGAAATTCTAAAATCTTATCAGATCACATCCTGTCACTATTTACCTGGATTTTGTACATTTAGGTGAAAGAAGGTGTATCATGTGTGAGTGTTCAAATTTACCTAGTGCAGGTTTTAGATTTCAGGATATTTCAGATTTTGGATTATCAGGGAAGAGATGCCAACTCCTAAAGTCTGTGCACTATTCCAAAGTCTGAAAAATGTCCAAGTCAAAATAGTCCTGACTGTTTTGCATTGTATCTGCATTTGATTTGTGTGTCTGTTTTATCTTCTCTTTTATTAGATGGCTTAGACTAACCAGATACATAGGTCACCTATTTCAAACACTGATTCCTTGATAGGATACAAATACAGCAAAGTCCTAATCTGCAACGTTTACCAGGATTCTATCATTTTCCTTTATTGACAAGTCAGTTAAGTTTTTATTCCTCCTCATGAGTGTGTGCATTCAAATTAAATGGTAAAATAGAAATAAATTATTGGTGACTATGTAACTCGGGATTTTTGTGCATATAATTAATTATTGTTTGCTCCCTCTTGATCATCTGGATACAATGTAACAATTAAATGTAAAGTATTGGCAGATTATTTGAGTGTGAAATCACATGGATAGCAAAGGTGTTTCTATCACCTAAACTTTCGAAAAAAAATGTGTGGATATCCCCCCACAATTTAGTGTAATCCAATACTGAACTTTAAATCAGCTAAGAATCAATATACAGGTTGTATCCTTACTATGATACCTGAAAGGCTAAAGGAAGAAGAAAAAATAAAATGACATCTCAGACACAGAAATGCTGATTTTGTGACCACAGTTAAAAATGTTTGTTCTTCCATTCTGTAAACCTTCTTAGATTTTTCAGTGTCTAGAGTTGCATGTTGTGAACATATCCATGTTTTATTTGAAAATTGCTTTGTTTCAGTATTTCACTGGGTTATAAGTAGAAAGTATTATTCACAATGCCCTAATGATTTTCTTAAAAGGTAATAAATGGTAATAAAGAAATAAAGAATAGCATTATAAGGACAGGTGTACACATGTGTTTATAGCTAAATCCACAGACAAATCCATGAACATAAGTGAATTTAGCATCATTAGAGACGGTAAATTTTTTTTCAAAAAACAAGAGAATTTAGCATCATTGGAGGTCATCTTGTATGGGAAGTAAACCTGTATTAGTTCTTTAAAGAAGATGAAGAATAAGGTTTGAAGGACATTTGAAGGTAGACTGTTTCCCAGCAGGAGCTGGAAACTCTTCTGTGGGTAGACCAGTTGTATGAAATGTGGCAAGCAGATTTATCTGGCTCTAGCACTAATACATGAACCAATACTATGAAAGGACATGTAGTCCCAGGAGAAGGTGATTTTTCTGTAAATCTTTGGAATTTACATTTATACATTTATTTTGAGGGAATTGGACAAACTTAGATTGATTCATCCCCTTTGACCAGAGAGCTCCAAAACAAAATGAAGGCTCTAGTTCATAAATTACAACATTTTATACTTGTATCCTTATATATAGTGGCTTATCCTGGGACTTTAAAAACAATTTTCTCATTTCAATATTCTGTGTGATAATTTCTGTTGAACTAGAGTGACTGAGGTCACTTTTTATCTCATCACAAGATGAAAATATATTGGTTGTCAGATGGATGAGGAAAGAAGACAATGCACCGTGCATCACACAATCGTTTCCTCTTCTAACCATGGCTGTAACAGGTGTAGCGACAGCCTCATCCCTGTGACTGCAGTCTCCTCCCTACACCCGCTCTATGTCTGCACGTGCACATATAACTGTGTAATTTATCACTTTCTGTGTGTCCTTGTCTGTCTGCTCTTGACTCTCATAGTCCTGCGACCCCCATACAATTCAGAGACGATCTCGACATCTGCTGAGGCCCTCGCTGAACTCAAGAGCTTGTGGGGAAGACTCACAGGTGCGGCCCTGTCTCCTCAATGAAAACTGTTTCCAGTTCCAGTACAACCTCACAGGTAGAGTTCCACTCTGAGTTCCACTCTGAGTTCCATGATCATTGACTAACCCTCGTGTGTGCAACCTGTCCTGGCACTGGGGAGGGAAAGGATGGTGTGTGTGGAACATGAAGAGCTGAGGACTTAGTCCCTTCAGAATGACAAACATCCATTCGTGGCGTGTAGATGCATCAAGGCCACCCATAATTTCTGAAGAACAGCTTGGCTTAAGAAGATACTGTAGTACAGTTTGGTTTTTCTCGTGCCTTTCATTATTTCAGTAACTCAAGTCTATGAAATATTTCCCCCATCACAATAAAAAATGTGAGGCCTGACCAGTCATGGATATTAAAGAGGCAATAAAAACCACATTAGATGAATTATTCAGCCACCATAGTTGTCTGAACACACAGGACAGTGCCCAAAACAAATGAGTTGCTATGGCACTTATCTGCTTCCTACCATTCCCCCTAGCAGGGGGGATGCAAAAAGGCCACCAAATGTAGAACTACATTAGGTGTTAACACTGAAGTCAATTTTTAGGAACACAGCACCATATGTCTGCAGAGGCAACAGCATCCTTTGCCAAAAACTTGCCTGTCCCGTGCACACGGGAACAGCTGGGATTCTTCATGGTGAAAACCTTGTAAATTCTACGCAGGTGTCTCTGGTTCTTTCATGGGTGAATGACAGCATGGCGGATTAACCCTTTTGCTTCCTGTCTTTGGGTTTTTTAAAGTAATTTTTCAGAAATACAACTGAATTTTGTTATGTTGGAAAAGCCCATGTTTTAAGGCTGGATTTTCTCTAATTATACATAAATTTGTTATTAAGCTTTTAGGTATAGAAAAAAATTTCAAAGGGTTTTTGTTAATGGTTGAGGGACTTTCGCCCCCACCGCCCCCACATCTGTAAGAAGAGTTGTCTCTTTTTGTTGTATTAAGTCAATTTAATATTGGGGGAGGAGCAGAAGGAGCCGGAATCATCTTGCATGGCCATGATCCAGTATTTTTAAAAATCCACTAGCCAGCCCTATAAAACTCAGTTGCCCAGTGCTATTGAGCAGAGTCTGACAGGATGTCTCCAGACAAGCTCCCAAAGTCTCTCATAAAGACAATAACCCCATTTCTGAGCTCCCCAACTTCATATAATCATCACCAAAAGGTTCTACTCCCTAGTTCTACCACCTTGGAAAGTTAAGATTTTGGGATGTAGAGAACAAACATAGAACCGTTGCCTTGGTTTAGTTGTTTTCTCTCTCAATTATCCACGACAGGAGAATAAAGAAACACCAAACTTTACTGTTCTGGTTAGTGCCTCGCTTATCCTGCCAAATGGTTGTAATAACCTTTGGGGTCTTCATTTTATTTTGCTTTTCCTAGAAAACCAAATTCTAGGAAGTCGACTCAGTACATTTATTTTGTTTTTGGGGACTTACTTGCATGTTCCCCCTCTGATACATTGGTTGTACACGGCTTCCCAAAGCTACTTAGGAAGATTGTAGCATTGTTTGTGGGCTCCCTTCCCACCCATGTGGATTATCAGAGCTTGAGTGTGCTTGGCTCACAAGCCCAGACCTTTGAAACTCAATCTTTATGGTCCTGTGCCTGTAGAGTGGAGTACATGCCAGCTGAGTGAAAACGCTTCCTGTGGCCAGGGCGTGAGGACTCGTCTGCTGAGCTGTGTGCGCAGTGACGGCAAGCCAGTTGGCATGGACCATTGTGAGCAGGTAACTTGTGTGTGATGGGATCTCTTAGGCTTCTTAGGCTTAGACCTCAACCTTCACAACACCTAATAGACATTGCACACACTGACTGAAGAGGTTTTGTGTGGCAGTTGTATGTCACTGGTTTTGGACCTACTCAAAGTAGTGGAGACAGGTCGTTTTGCACTGAAGAAATGGGACCAGTAAGAACTTGTTAAGATATACTTGCTTTCCAGAAACCATTGGTATTAGTGCCTTTACTACTGTGGTGTGAGTCCTTATGTTGTCAGGTGATTCATTTGCTTGAGTGATAAACATGTCCTTATCACAAAAAAAAAAAAAAAGAAAGAAAGGAAGAAAGAAAGAAAAATGGATGCTAACCCTGGATGTAGAATACACTAACAATTTTATCAACAAATAATTTCCAGATAAGCAATACAGTTGTCTTCTTCTCAATCTATGCAAAAGAACTCCATGTCAATTTTCAAATTAGGAAGTTCTGGAGTTTTCTGATTTTATGGAATTTGCAGATAAGCTACAGCAGGGCCCGTTCCAAAGAAGCTGGCATCCCCTTCCCAAATGTAAATTTGGCTCTATAGGGACCACTCAACAGAAACAAGAATGCTGTCATACTGCAGGCATCACAGAAACCATCTTCCAGATTAAAAATAGGATTCCAGTAATCACAGAAATGCCTGTAACATGCTGACAGATTAACTAAGGTCTGTCTCAGTTATTGTGGCATGGGGGAAGTAAATTAAAACAAAGACTTCCTCATCATTCTTATATCAACCCTAAGTTTTGTCACAATGTGCTCCCTAACTAGACTGTGAATGTCATTCAGGATGCTGATTATGAACCACTCCATCCAAGAATACATGCCCCAATGGATAGTTTTCTGAAAAGGGCTCACATCCTGTAGAAGACTGTTGGCCATCCATCATTGCTTTATTTGAATACTTAATTTCATTTAGTCTGCCTCTAATACACTGACTGCCTCAGGAGTTACCTATCTACAACTGTTCCAAATAAACAATGGGTACACTCAGATCTGTCCCCACAAAGTTAACATTCCTTCCCAATGCATGAATGAGAAATACCATAAGGATGTTTTAATGGCCAGGAGAACACCTGTGGACTGTTGCTGTTCAGATGAGTTGCTGATTTTGTTTTTGGTCCTCTGTTGTTTGTGAACCTTGTTACCTATTAATTGTGAGCTCCCTATGTGTGTAAGAAATATTTTTTTTTGATGTAAGGAGAGATGTCCATTATTCATTAATAAAAATCAGTTTCTTCATTTTCTAAATGCCATAGACCAAACATATATTTAATGACTTTCCTTTTAAAGAAGTCCTAAATTATTAACCTAATTATCACACCAGTAATCACAAATCCCTTTATGGTGGTATCTGCATAACCCACTTAAAGAGTCATCATGCTGTGATAACTAATTTTAGCTTTGGGTAGCTGTGCTGATAATATTTAACATGTGTTAGGTGCCAAAGCTTTTCTAATTAAACATACAATCAGTGTGTGAGTCACACTGCACATACTTCAGTATCCACTCTCTGAGTCTTAGGTAATTTATTCCTACGCTGAGATGTCCTCTACCTTGATCCCAATAAAATGAACACATTTTGTCTACACAAAGAGTTCAGAGAAGAAAGTAAGCTGTCTCATTAATTTGTCTCCAGATTAGAACTGTAATTGCGTTGTCCAGTTGCTCATTTGGGGATTCAGATGTATCATTTTACCTTTGGACCTATTCTTTGTACCACTAGCTTTTTTTTTTTTTTAACTAATTTCGATCTCAGCCCATCCCAGGATATCTGAATGGAATGATGACATGTCTTCCTGCTTTGTTGCTGACTGGACAACATGGAAGATCTCTGTGCCATGTGACCTCATACTTTCTAAACACCTGAGTGTCAGGTCTCTGCCAGAGTTCAGAGTTTATATAATTCTGACTGACAAAATGTCACCCACAAAATAGCAACAGCCATTTCTATGCCTGACAATTTATAAAACAATAGATGTTTGTTCTCCTATCACAATGGGGCAAGGCTGTTTATTACAGAATAAAGGGCACTCTCCCCATAAAAGAATAGTGAGTGATCTGGCTTGGCATTGAAGGTATATCTCATTGTATTTGCAGCATAATCTAGAAAAACCCCAGAGGATGAGCATCCCCTGTTTGGTGGAATGTGTGGCCAACTGTCAGCTCTCAGGATGGACGGCATGGACAGAGTGTTCGCAAACCTGTGGCCAAGGAGGTATGCCATTTCCCATTGTTTGTTTTTACTGCTAAAAATGGCTTGGTAACTGGAAAAAAACACATAGTAAACAGCTGAAGCTCACACAGGCTGACCCAGAAAATAGACCTCTAAGCATCCCAGCATGCTCAGTAGATTTGGAAGATGTAACTTGTAACCATGGCAGATCACAGAAGAGCTGGCTAATCCATGGTCAGTATCCTGTCAGAAGACTGTAAATGCTACCAGTTGAAAACATGTGGCCATGGTGGCTTTCAGATTGTGAATTATGTCAGTATAGTCTAACACAGTGACTAGAGACTTGTTTCAACCTGTGTACAGAAAGAGCTTGTTTCTGATTCAAAGGAATAATCAATCCCATAGGCTGAGAGGTGCCATAGAATGCTAATACCATTTCCCTGGATGGTGACACCATTATGGATGTTTGTATGAGCAACATTGGAAGTGGTGTACCTCTCTTCCTTATGTGTCCAATGAGAGGAAATTTAGTCTGTTAGAAAATCAAGGCAAGAAGCTTAGGATAGGAAATACAGTTTCTGATGGCCAACTGCTTCTCAGTGTTCCCCACGATGGTGTAGGGGAGTGTGAGTCTTGGTGAGTGGGCAGTTACCAATCACACTTTGAGGTCTTGGGACTTTGGTGTGTAAGTATACAGTGTGGCAAGGGATATGGATGCCAGGTAATTCTAGGAAGCTAGATGAATGGAGAAAGATGGCATGTAGCCAGTAGGCTAGAGCAAGAGACTTAACACTTATCTGTGGATGAAAATGTCCTAAAAGAAAAGCGTGCAATGGGCATAGGGTAAATGAGAGTCTTGAAGGGTACAGTTTATCAGCAAAAGAATGTCAGAAACTTGGAATAGAAATCTAGGAAGAAATCTTGACATTATAGTTAGTCACCAAGCAGAGGAGGAGAAGGAAGGAAGTTCAAGTTGGAGGAATCGTGGGATTGGGTAGAAGAAGGCATTAAGATCTGGACATTATTGCTCACCAGAAATACTCAGAGGCCATTTTCTTGGACTCCTGAAACTGGACTACAGTATGAGCTTCCTTCTAATCAGTACAAATGGTGATAGCAAGGTTATTCAACCTAGTCTTAGTCCTGGATCCATGGGGAGCTGGGCAGACATCAGCCTGCAACAGGAGATGAGAACTGAGCTGTAATATCCCAGAGAAGGCAGGAAGCCAGGATGGGCACTGGGAAAATGTAGCTAAGGATAGCAATGGTTTTACAAAGAGCGCCATTCACAATGCAAGTGTGGGACTCCCAGATTCTGGTAATAGTATTAGTAATACTACTAATAATAGTAATAATGTACTACCTACTGAGCAATTGCAAACAAAAGCCCCAGGGGGAAAATGTTATATTTTAGGACCAGGATATAGTGATTATTCTATACAATTCCTAAAACATGCCTGAGAGAGAGGCATCTTCCACGAGGGACCATTTCAAAGGCAGATGGATCCAGGTTCAAACTGCAGCTGTTTAAGTATTTGCTCTATTATCGTATATACATATAACAAAAACATCTCTGTGTGTGTGTGTGTGTGTGTGTGTGTGTGTGTGTGTGTGAGTGTGTGTGTGTGTGCATGGTTTGACATGAGGTTTAGGAAGTCACATGCTGTCTGTCCTAGTTAGGGTTTCAATTGTTGCAATGAAACACCATGACCAAAGCAACTGGGGGTGAGGGGGTATTTAGCTTATATTTCCACATCATTGTCCATCATCAAGGGAAGTCAGGGCCCAAACTCAAAATGGGCAGGAACCTGGAGGCGGGAGTGGATGCAGAGGCCATGGAAGGGTTCTGTTTATTGACTTGTTTCCCATGGCTTGCTTAGACTGCTTTCTTACAGAACCCAGGACCACCACCAGCCCAGGGAAGGCTCCACTCACAATGAGGCCTTCTCCATCAACCACTAGTTAAGAAAATGCCTTACAGGCTTGCCTATAACCCAGTCTACAGAGGCATTTTCTTATTCAAGGTTCCCTCCTCTCAGATGACTTTAGCTTGTGTCAAATTGACACAAAACTATCCAGCACGCAGTATAGTAGCTGTGTTGTTGGAGTGTTCGCTGCCTTTCATTCCTACATCCATCAGTATACTAGAGATCTGTATACTGTATCCAGTATCCATCAGTAATACTGGAGATTCCAAGGCACCTAAGATTTTTTTTTTTTACACTCTCCAGTGAGTTCAGTTATCTATATTGCTCCTTTATTATTCATGCTTTCATTTTTGCTCAATATCCTTGCAAACTTTAAAAAAAATCATATAGACATTTGTGTCTTTGTGCATGAGTGTAAGTTCCAAAAGCCAGAAGAGGGTGACAGATCTCCTGCAGCTGAAGTCGCAGATTGTTGTGAACCTCTGAACTTGAGTGCTGGAAACCATCTCAGGTTCTCTCTAAGAATATTATGTTGCTTAACCTCTGAGCCATCTCTCCAGCCCCAACTCAACATTCTTTAGTCATAAAGTAAGTGATAGTTTTAAAATGAAAATGTCACTGAGTGTTTTCCCGTTGACTTCTAGTTGCTCACATGTTCATTTACCTACTAAACAGATACAAATGCGCTGTGTTTTTGATGCCACAGCAGGACACAGCGACAACTTCCCTTATTTCATGTAGCTCACAGTCCAGCTGGAGGACAACTCCTAGCAAATAAACAGACAAGGGACGCAGTTCATGCTGTTGAAGACGCACAGATAACAGTGCCATTCACATTTGTCACACCTAACACCACAGTCATCTCTCCTCATCCACATGCACTGCTGTCTTGCCAGGGGTCATCCTGGGATGCTCTGCTCCCGGGCAACAGATGGCAGCATGCACAAGTAGTTAAAGATGGCCTTTCTTGTGACGATGGCCTTTAAGAGAGACTGTCTCTGCTGCCTCCCCTGCCCTGTCGTTCCCCCGGCCACCATGTTAGTGCATGCTGTTTCCGGGGCCATCAAGACCAGACCATGCTTTGTGCCCTCTCGTCATGTTCCCTCACACGGAGCATCTCACATCACCACTTGTTGCTTCCTGGTCGTCATGTCCATCTTTCCCCAGACGCCACCACCATCCTCATTTTGACTCTTCACGAGATAATCTCTTCTGTCCCAATGCAACGTGCTAAATGGGTCATCATTTGTCCTTATCCAGTTGATTCTAGGTCATAATATGTAAAATGCAAAGGGGAGAAGAGTTTGCAGCCTGAATCGTGAGCCTAAAGGTAGGCAGTCCCTATCGCTGCCTATTTCCCTTTTCTCTCCCAGAGTAATGAAGGTCTTTGTTCTCCACACCCAGAAGATATCTAACAGGTGGAGACAGAAACACACGGCTCTTGTTATCTTTCCTGAAAAATCCTAATTGTGCCACTGTAACAAGTCATTGAGAAATAACAGCTCATTGTGTCATTCCAACACTTCACCTTTACGCGTAGAACCCCAGAGCAAACGCTTAGTGTTAAAAATGTCACTTTACACTTCCATGCAGTTCTGCTAATGCAGAGAACTAATTACACTGCAATCGTCTATTATAAACCCAGAGACATCCCAAACCTGAGCCCCACTGATGAGGAAGTCTGGGTAGTTATAGCTCCAGTCTAAATTCAACTTTCCAAAATCCATAGAATAATAAAGACAAAGGATCCTGGTTTTCAGAAGAAAGGCTAGTTTCTGAATTGAAGCTCTGCACGTATGGAATCAGTCAGGCATCAGCTCAAGCTAATTTTTCATAAGTGAGGTTATTTCTTGGGGGCATCATTTCTTCATCTGTAGACTTCATTATGTTCTAAACTGCTAGATGTAAAAATACAACTTAAAAACTGTCCACAGTCTTACCATCTGGAAAATTTGCCAGTAATCAAAATGCAGATGTGTTCAGCCACTCCTCTGATCATGGGGAAACGTTTTGCAAAGATAATGCCTAACTATCCTACGATGTCCCCTCTGACGGTGGAAAAATAAATTACAATGTATATTACTCAGTGGATGCATTCTTAGTATGCAGCACTCTGCCAGGAGCTCAGGATAAGCTTCATGGGACAGATTATGATCTCAGGGCAAATTATGGGAACTTCATAAAGCCAGTACCCAGTGGAAAAATGAGTAATGAGACAAGCACAAGAATTAGGAATACCTCGTGACATGGTAAAACTAAGATTGATAGAACACTGCAAAAATCTGACCGGAAAGAACAAAGAGGATGATGCTGAAAAGTTGGTCTTCTGCCAAAATTGAATGTCCAGGGTGTGCCACAGCCTTTAAACTCATGACGCCATCATAAGGGTCGTTCAACACTGACTCTCATAAGGGCTCTTGACAAGCTTTGTGTTTAAGGCTTTAGGTTACAACCCAGAGACAGAAATACATAAATGAGTACTATTCCATTCATATATATTTGAACCTGGCCTCAACTGGATAGGTAAATAGTGAGTAAATAGGTCATTCTGTGGGAGAAATTGTCTATGTGTCCACTGGCTTTCTATGCACCTTCCTTCAGACTGTGTGGAAGGGATGATGTTACAGTTACTGCTCCAACCTTGGGGCGTCTTTCCTCCTTGTTTCCATACTGTGAAAATTCTGCATTTAAGTCACGCCCCAGCCTGGAAACAATAAACAAGCAGTACCCATCAAATGCAGGCCTGCACGGCACAAACTTATTCCCGGAGCTGGAAAGGTTACACACTATCACTGGGAAACATCTGCAGACATGCTTGTCTCCTCTAAGCAGCGTGCCAGCATCTGCCTTCTGTATGAGCCACTCTTTTGTCCTGCTGATTGTGGCCAGGAGACCCAGAGGCCAGATGAGATATAGTGGGCAGAGTCACATTAAAGAGCAGGAGGGAGTTACCTGGGAGTCCGCCTTCAGCACCGGCAGCTCTGAGCTGACTGCTGTAGCAAACGTGGAAGTTCACACAATTACCTCTGTTTATGAACTCACCGAGTTGTTGGCCCAGTGAGCTATGCTTCACCATCAAACTCAGAAAATGCCATTGATCTTAGGGAAATTTTG